AGTTCGTGGAGTAAGGTGAGGTGTGACATTTTTAGGATCAGTCTTTTCGAACTTCCACCTTCCGTTGTGAGAAGGCAGTATCGCTGCAGATGCTGGCTGTCCGAGAGTAAACAATTTACTGCCGTCATACGACTTTACAGCCAGCAGTACGATTTCGCCACAAGACCTTAAAAATTGCTGCTTTTAGTTTTACTGTCTTCCAGTTGACCTCCTTGGGATGCTGGTGGACCTGTAGGAACAGGTCTTTCAGCCAATATAGCTCGCTCGAGTCTTCTCGAAAGGCAAGTCCGACCGCCACGTCAAGGTAGCAGCTACAGTCGGGTTTTTCGGATCATTGTGCTCCTTCGGCTTATTATTTAGCATGGCAACTTTCTAGTTAGTACTTAGTAATATAATTAATCTCCACTTATACTTGAAGATGTTATCGCAATAGGCAAGTGTAATGTTGAATTGTTGTTAATTAACGTGTCTTCATTAGACACCTGAAAATCTATTTATCCTACAATATTTTTCATATCTTTGTTTTCATCTAATGATAATTGTTTCTTCATTGCACCTCATTTATTTATTTTTCTGAAATATTTACAGTCTGTTTTTGTAAGTCCCTTATATTTAGCTAATATATACTTTACTTTGGATTAATTTACTATCAGAATTTCATTTCATATTGTCGAAATCTGTGACGTTAAGCAAACGTTTCATTAATATTTATCATTTTCATTGTGAACCTTTATATTTCTCACTTTACTTCTAAGGGAATTGTGGTTTATTGGCTAAAACACTTGATGTCCAACCATTGAATTTCAAATGTTAACTCTTCCACAACAACTATTGTCTAGACGGTCCAGTAGAGTATGGTAATAAACCCTGACGCATGAAATTATGAATCAAGGTCGAGTGTACAAACTTTTACTCGGCAAATGAGTTATTTTAATACTATCACTTCTACAATTTTCACACATGTTCATGTTTCTTTACGTGTTTGATTTATTGCTATCACTGTTTTTTCTTCCCACAGGTTTTGGTCGAGGATTCGATTTACGATATTTATGTTGTAATGGTGACATAGGTCAACCTGGCTGTCAAATTTGTCCTAAAGGTCATGTTCATGATGCTAACAAGTGGTTAGACAATGAAGGGTTTGTTGTTACATTGCCACCACTTCCAAAGTCACAAGAACATGATGATGATAATCCTAGTTGTAATGTATACGCTCTTGATTGTGAAATGGTTTATACAACTGGTGGTTGTGAACTAGCGAGAGTCACTATTATTAATTCAAAACTTGAATCTATTCTAGATGAAATTGTTTGTCCAGACAATCCTGTCATTGATTGTAACTCACGTTTTTCTGGCTTAAAGCTAGAAGAGGTAGAACAGGCAAAATATCATATTACTGATATTCAAGCAAAACTATTGCATTTATTCGATTCAGATACAATATTAGTTGGTCATAGCTTAGAAAGTGATTTAACAGCTCTCAAATTGATACATAAGAAAATTGTCGATACTTCGATTGTATTTCCGCACCGGTTAGGTCTACCAAAGAAACGGGCTTTACGGAACTTAGTTAGCGAAATACTTCAACAAATTATACAACAAGATGGTAAGTAGTATTTCTTTATTTATCAAAATACAGTGAAAAACCTAAATTATACTAGACTTGGTGCCGAATATGCGTTACGTAAATTAGTTATTATAACAGTGGAACTTGCTTCATATCTTCTAGATACGGTCTTGTAGTAAGAATACGCTTTACTCCTATCGGACTGCTGACATTTAATTCGATCAGTGACATACAGGACGAGAACAACAGCGATAATCTTTATTTCCATTGGTTCAGAATACAGTTCCCCCCTAGCACGGTAGTCAGTCAGGACGAAAATTAGCAATTACTTATTATGACTCAGAACTCATGATAATATGCATTATATGCTTGTCCGAACAGCAACATAAATGGGTAATTATAACATGTGAATGTCTATGCCATAAAAGAAATATCGGGCTATAGGTCCATAATTAATGAACGATAACTTTGCGAAGTGTGCTATTTGTGTATAATAATGATTTCTTTGTACACGATTGGGCGCTGAATTCTGTTATTACGGACCTATAGCCCAATTTTTCTTTTCTCCCACCCCATTCATTGTATTCTATCTGACTTAAGTCCCGGAATTAGTGTTGGCCAAATATGTGAGTAACTAGTTCATACATCGCATTCAATATTGCTATTTTTACTTATCATAGTAAGGTAAAGACATATAACAGTTTATGTATCAACCAGAATCCTACAATATAGGGAATATCGAAATAATAATCCAAAAAATTTATGAATTATACAATAAAAATATTAAGTTATTTCCTGTAGGAATAACTTAGATAATTAAGTTGTTGGTATTTTGACTGAAATTTAGTCACTCGTGGTTGCCATATGGGCATCCTGTGAGGATTGACGTAATATAGCGATTATGGCACAAGATTATACAAAACAGATGGGTGCCAATCAGGACAGATCACATTTCAGTCGAAATACCAACAATGAGACTATCTAGCCCTTTCAAATTGAATTAAATCTCATACCTGTTGCGCAAGTGAGTGGCTATGTAGATAGCAGGATGTTGCTTGAAGCAGGCGGTACTGCGCTCGAGTCGTGGAGTAAAAATCAACTCGGACGCAGGTGCACCCAACTCACTACTGCCAAAGAATATAAAATGCGCTATTGCAGTAGGACAGTTCTGAAATTTGAACTTTTCCCAGATTCATCCTGATATACATATTGTTCCGGATGAAATCATAATTCAAATGTAGTGTTCTTTATTTACGGAATTAGGGTATCATCATTTTTATTTGCTTAACAAATGTATGTAGACATGTTATACTATTAATTCGAATGCTTCATTTTCGTTACTTTTAATAAAGAGAATGGTCACAACAGTATGGAGGATGCTATTGCCTGTATGCAACTTGTTCACCATAAGGTCAAAGAAGATTTACGTCGTGGAAAGTGGAATTTTTCTTAAAGTTTATCTGTGATTATGCAATCAAATATAAACATGCTTTTGTTTGATCCTATTTTCTTACTACCTCGCAAAAAAATGTATGTGCTCAGCTTTTCTATGAAAGAAAGCGACTTACTACATTTATTATTGTAAATATTTTCAATTAAGTATGTAGGAGGGTAAATATAAATACTCATTTCACATTTGAAACGAATTGTCTATTCCTATTCTTCTTTAGTTTTCTCCTCTTTGTACGCTTCGAGTTCGTTTGCAGTGATTGCTCCTGGATTAATTTATTTTATTACATGGTTTAACAGAATCCAGTAATTCTAATCATATCGAAATATAATTTAGACAACACTTTATTGTAGCAGTAGGAATTACAATTACTGCTTATTTGACGGAAACATATATTTTCGATCTCATTTACTTGTAGTTGATATATATTTTGTTCGGGTGATAAAATGACTGGAATTAAATTGATTTTCCTCCCAGGAAAAGTCATTATAACGATTATTTATATTCGAAATATCTAACACAGTAACTTAATCATTATTAAACCACTAATCTTGAATGAATATCTTAAGATGACTAATAATTGTTCACTTTTCTCCGTCTAATAAACTGTGGGAATGAGACCAGATTGACCTACTAATTATATGACTAGTTTGTGAAGAATAGGTTTTTGTTCATTCGGATTCAATTGACTTCAAGTTAAGGAACTAAACGTACCTGACCCCGGTGTTATGCAACTTCCATCATTAAGGGTTATATTTGACTGTCGTTTGAACCAAGCATACTTGATCACAATAGCTGTTTTAGTGTGATCTTGGTAATAGTTGCAACTAGTTGAAAAGTGCTCAAACTCTTAGTTACGTTGATGCTTATCGAATAACATTTATGTAAGAAGTCTTTGGCGAAATTCTCTTAATGAAATAACTTGAACAATAATATAAAGTGGATCTTAATATAAAGTTTATTAGTTTCGGTGTTGCCAACGTTTTTCAAGATAATTTTGCTAAATCTCCACAAAATGTGCATGTCACCATTTTACTACTGATTCAGTTAACATAAAAACTAAGCGATGGATAGAATTCAAATTTGTGACCTGTCAATATTTTTAATGGCAAATAGTTCAATCTTACGATGTTTTGTAACCGGACTGGCTAATTAACTGATCAGTGGTTGATTCCCTTTGAGAAAACTTTACCATTTGTTAATATGGAACAAATATGAACAGTCAGTGTATTAAGGACAATTATGAATGTAGTTGTCAATAACAAAAATCGATATGTTCGATTACGAACGCAGGAGAATTAACATTCCCAGTATGATTGAAGTTTGACCTAGCTTAGTTGCGAGACATTTGCATAACTGATCGACTTACACCAATTCGGTTTAACGTAATTCTAAGTATTTTAGTAGCGCAATGGGATCAGAAGAATCCATTTATTTAAGAGTATTACTGTTAATTTTCAAATAAACTTATATTGGCTGTTTGGTAAAACTCTAAACACAGATCAAATTTTATTTAAATAGACACGTTATGTGTGGTGTGAGGTGAAGAGCTATAAATGGTCGGATTAAGATGGGACCAATGGAATCATTAGCTTTTTCTCCAAGTCATTTCCACATATATAAACTAGAAGACGGAGATCATCACGAACAATGGTTGGGGATGCTAACCTTGCTAAGAATTGGTTACAGATGCTCACAACTTAATGTCTAATCTTAATCTGCAAATCACCTTACTTTTTTATTTCATTCATTCTTTACGGATTGTGTTTAACTTTAATCACTAATCCATCACATTGCACGAACATCTTTTATTAACACTTGGATTCAGACTCAGTGATCTAGAGGCTGAGCGTACACATGCTTGACCGAAGGCCCTGAGTTTGATTCCTCTGTGCAGGGGCATGGGTGTGTGCTACTGGGGGTCCCACGCTACTCAGATTTTCAGTGGTGGTCAACTGAGACCGAAGAGGAGTGTAAGACTGCGACATGTGTCGTCCAAATCCGAATAATAATACAACTCATGCTTAATAACTGATTTTGGAAAAATAACAATATATCAAAATCAGGCAGTGGAAGATATCTCTAAAGTCTTTATGAGCAGTTTTTATAGCAATCATACTTTACATAATTATAATTCATCTCAATTGTCATATTACTTGTGAAGAGGCATATATTGGTTGGATTACAGGCAAAATTTCATCAAAGGAATTGAAACAAGTACTCTGAAATAGCTGGATGAAAAATATAGTTTGTCTGTTTAACTACAGAAAAATCTCTCGCAAAATAGGAATGTGTCACCGAATTGTTAGGAAAATGGACTGTATTTTGTTCTGAATCAGGCGTATATGTCGCAAAAACGGAAAATTAAGGGTTCAGATGAATTATGAATGACCATAGAGGATGCTGTTATCACTAAAAACAGGAACGGCATACTTCTGTAAAGTGTGACTGGTGGTTTTTAAGAAGCGCAGATCGTACCAGAGTCTATACAAACAATCGCACTGTCCAGTGACTGAAGTTCCGTTCCTGAGGATTTATTTACCTCGGCCCCGTCACGAATCAGCATTCGCTGTAACCGGAGTAGTTCACGCCAACCAGGGAAAAAACCAGTACTTTCTTCAGTTGGTGGACCTATTGGCTCTCGGACATGAGACACATGAACAGTATTGTTGCCAAGACGATCCAGACATCGTAGAATTGGTTTATGAGTGGGGTCAGCTTTGTTATCAGCAACATCTTTGGAATTAGTGGTATTCGGAATTCTACAAACAAAAACCCGATGTTATCACATGTTCGAAAGAGCGATAAGTGAAAAATAAGGAAGTAAGTTATCTAAGACTTCATACCGTGATCAAATATGCATACAAAGAATTACTTAGTTATTTATTTCAACACAAACATTGATACAACGGGGCACTAAAATATATGTACAACAAAAATCGCTGTGTGTGAGCTGGGATACTGCCCGCATGTCGAAATGAACAAGACAGTAATCAACAACAGCCGAGCAGAGAAATCCAATATTGAGGCCAAATACCCAGAATTAAATGAGCTGATACTTGGAAAGGTGTGGGAGACCTAGCAACGGAAAAGCTTCAAGAAAAGGAAACATGAAACAGCCGTACAATAATACAACGAAGGTGCTAGCCGAAAGGTATGGTAAACCAGGATGATTAAACAAAAACAAGGAAGACAATCAAATCATCGACATTCAAGAACAGGAAAATATAGAATTTTGCAGAACCCTTGAATAGATCATCCCCAACGAACCCATCAGTCATCAGAGCAGAACACACAGACCTTCCCATAGATGTCATCTAGTCAACAATCAGAAAAATCAGCATGGTCATCCGACAAACCAGGAGTGGCTAAACAGTAGGACCACACAACCTACCAGCCGAATTATTGAAACCAGACGTAGATGCAAACAGAAAAACTATACTCATAAAGATTCGGGATGAAGGAAAAGTACTGATGTACTGGAAAGGACACTTCATGAAGATACCAAAGAAGGGAAATCTTAGCAAGTGTGAGATCTACAGAACCATCATACTATCAGTGTTGTTAAACCGAACGAACCATCATAAGGCATTCTTACGACGGACTACACTTTCAAATCGTGCATGGAAGACAGCTCACAGGTTCATTCCAAATGAAGACTGATGTCAGATAAGGTTGATCTTTCTGTCTTCTGATGGTACTTTTTCATTAAGTTTGAAATGAATATTATTTTACGCTTGTGATAGTTAACGGTAAAACTAATCAAAGCAATTTACGGATAAGTGCGTATACTATCTTTTCAATGTATGATTTTTAGTACTCGTTTTTGATTTGATTTGAGCAGTCAGTCAAAGATCACCAGGCTTCGTGAAAGCGATTTCAAGTAAATGGACTAATAGTTCGTCGCTGGGTTGCTTAATTTGTTGAACAGTACTTACTACAAAACATAATTTGCAATAAAGTTATAATGAATGACACATTAGGAAAACTTACGTCTTTTGTTTAGGCTGGTTTTTAATCAGTTTTTTATTGCCATGACCTAGTGAACAAAAAGAGAATTACTTAACTTTTAAACTAAACGAAAGTCTAATTTCGATAACTACACCACATTACCAACTGAGATGCATATCGAAGAACTAGTAGTATCGGTGATGGTTGGGAGATTAGACAAGAGAAATTCATGGGAAACAAGAAGGACAATCTAGGCGTAAACAGTATGGATGTATTTGGGCTTTTATAATCGACTAGGAACTATGCTGTATAATTTCGCCAACCACCGACCAATACTGCTAATCCCTGCCAGAAAATCTGCACCTGTCATCATGACTCAGACAAAATTAGTGACTTAATGGAGCAATGATAGATCAGTCTAGTCAACTCTTGTTCCAGAACCATAACATTAGCCAATAGTATCCATATAGTTACGCAACAATCAGGCATACGTAGAACATGCCACAAAAACATTCAGTTGGTTAATAGTCAGTATTGCCGACCGATCATAGGTGTCTTTGAAGCATTGCCCGTATATATATATATATATATATATATATATATATATATATATATATATATATATATATACTCGTACACAACCGAGTAGGCAATGCTGGTTTCAGGTGAAGGGTACTAGGAAGGATGGCAAATCAGTTGGTGAAACAGTCAATTTTCACTAGTAGAGATGATTGGGACAGGTGTTATGTATACCTAATCACCCCCTACATCGATGAGCGATGTTGTCTGGCGTAGAGATGGGCTGGAAGAGAGCTAGAAGCGTCCAAATCAAAATGTGGAACAAATCCATAAAGTCATTGACAACTGGACTGAACCACGTTAGTAGGTATAGACTACATGGTTCAGGCCTACGAGACAACCGTAACCGGTGGGTAGGGACTTTTGATGAAACGACTCAAAATTGTCTGTAGTGGCAGAGATGGATCTGTTTAATTGTCTTCTCTAAAACTCTAATTTAATTCCTCATGACATTTTTTCTCTTTCTGAGTTTGTTTCACTGGGATATGCTTTTCGAATCATATCTTCGATCCCTAATCTTTATGATTATTATTAATACTGCTAAAATCTCTACTACTACAGTAATTGGATTGACAAAATCCATCTCGCTGTGCTAATACAGCATGACAACTTGAACTGATGCACGTAAGTACGAAGTCCTACGTCGTACCTTACTGACTGACTGAATATCATTAGATTAAAATTACGTAACTAAAATATGGAAAGACGTAACAGTGCATGTCAGTGAACTATCATGTTTTTACTAAAAAAATATAATGCAGACTAATAAACAATTTAATCGGAAGATTTTTAACTTACACAATAGATATGCATAAATGTTCCCCCACTGAGAGAGAGATAAATTAATTGCTTCTAATGCATCAGGTTGACTGGGGAATTCGACAACGGCGCACACCTTAACACCCAGTTGCTTGTGCAATATTTGTGAACGTTTAAGATCAGACGGTATCTTGCGATTTGGAAACAAAACACGAACTAAAGATGGAGGATGGCCATTTACCTGTGAAGCAAAATGGGAACAAATTAGGAATTTCCACGATATATGCGACATTACAGGAAACAGCATGCAATGAATAGTTAAATCAGAAGAGAAAAATCGAGCGCCTGGAGCAGTGATTGCACCTCGAATGTATTTAATGATGACGAGACAAGCATAAAACTATGCCAAGAAGTCTTTAACAGGCTCTAAGTTTATTACTTCCTAAACACCGAATTGAGTACATTCTTTACAAGGGCCTCGGAAAAAATAGCTTGAAATTAAAGGTACAAACGGTAACTGGAGAGCATGCACACAATTTCTACGAGTAGTCACGTCTTGAAACTTATCACCAGATGAAGCGGTTCAGGTAACTTCCCTGATGTTATTCAAAGGAAACTGGGTGCATTCTTAAGGATTTATGGCCGTAAATCCACCACTATTCCTTCTACTACTGTTTGTTTATTACACTTGGGTCCCTACCTAAAAGCACTGATGATTTGTTCGTACTCGATGAGGAAGTTCTTTCAGCCCAAGCATTTACGTCATCCACCATCATCTGGATTACCGTAATTCGATGCTAACAGAGATAATTAAGCTCGACTAACTCACTCGACGTTAAAAACAAACGATAAACATACATACTGCTAAAGTACCAACTGAAATTTCCAAACTTTTGCTTCTATCCGAGAAGTTTAGAACTGACTTACCGTGAAGAACTGTTGAATACTTTCTACAGTAACATCTGAATTTTCTGGAAAGTCTGACAATATGATGGTACGGAAGTAAACGGACCTATCCCATGTGGGTAAGGGGTCAACGCGCCGAATTGTTGTCCCATCTTCTGATAATTCAAGTTTAGTTGAGGCTGTTAGTGACTGTCGAACAACGTCCAGGTCCGTTGACAAAGATTGAATCTTTTTAAAATTCGCAATTACAGAAAGATTCACCCATCCCTCTTTGGATGACTTGACTAAATTTAGAAGATATTGATCTTTCAGAATATTTGCATCCGAGAAATAAAATTCACATTGTTTAACAATCTTGCTATTCAAGCAGTCTGTTGTTGGCTCACTGCACACATTATTTTCCTTATTCTGCAGGACCGAACAGTCAGCAGAGTCAGCGGGACTCAACTCCATCAAAAGACGTCCACTCCGCTGAACTTCGAAGACCCGCTCATTACGAGGCCTTAATACTTATAAAGTTTTTTCGAACCTCAAAATATGTTTAAGGATTAAATGGCGATATATCAGTTTTTCAGATCTGTGTAATGTATTCTGGGGAAAGCTTTTGGTTATGCAATGGCAAACTTAGTGTTTTAGTGTCCAATAACTTTATGTTACTCTCACAACATCAATGAAATATACTTTAGATCCTCCTCATTCTTGACTTCTGATTTAACCTAGGATTTCGGTATTCTCCACCAGAAGTCGGTTAAGGACAGATTCGTTGTCCAACTCCGGACATCCGTAACATCCCTAAAGACTGTTTCATTTCCTCACGCCTTAAATAATTCAAGTATATGTGAACAGTAGAAAAAAACTCAGCGCCATGGATATTGCATCTAACAGAAGTAAGCTACCGATGTCACCAGGTAGGGACATAAGTATATATAACGAGTATAAGCGAAATACCACCAACTAATGATGATATATTGTCCTGAGTATATAGCAATGTGTTTCTCTTTAAAGGACGCCTGGAAATTCACTCTCACCAAATAATGCTGCAGGAAATTACAGATTTCGACTACTGTTGTAGTAGGCATGCTTCAAGTCTATTTTATGATGTAGTTTCCTTCTAATTTTAGGATACAGTTAAAAAGGCTTGTGTAATAACTAGGCATAAGTATTTTAGTGGTTGCAAAGGACTGGTTCGAATGTCATGAATAATGTAAAGGTCACAACCGTGACGCCTACACTCTAATGAGTACGGACCCATTGATGTGAAACATCATGAGGCTTTAGTTCGGACCTACAAACTGACTTCAGGCCTCGCCTATATAACGATTCACTGTGTACTTGTCCTTCTGGAGTGAGGGATGAGATACTGTGTTTCGATACTAATAATAAGGCTAAATAAAGATGGCGAAGATCAGGTCAAACGTTATACTACCAAACATGCAAAAATGTTCGTTCAGAGTTAGTGTAGGATATGCTCGATATGAATTTTTGTAGCAGTTCGCGTTAGACCACAGGCTACCAGATCTCTTAAATCTTTTTCAAACTGTGACATATTTGGAGGAGGAATACTTAGGCTTATTTCTAGTCTGAAACGTGTTTCAAGTGGGTCGCCTTACATACTGAAGTGTTGAATGAACGCCCACTGTCATCGTTGGCTATGAAGGTTCATAACCTGGCATTTTTAGATTACATGATCTTTGATCGGTGGGGGAGAGGAAAGGGCCTACAATGGTTTTCGTTACGTTACTGATGAAGAAATATTTGGAACCACGTTGACACGGTGCTGCCCGTCCTTCGAGTACCTCTACAGCTAGGATGATGGTGGACCAGTTTAAATGCTGTTCAAATCCGAGCGATGTATCAGCGAGAATTAAAGAGGGGAGTCGTATATTTCTCAGGTAGTAGTTTTTAGAGTTTCGGTCATTTAGGCGTCAAAACTGCCTTATTAACTTGGATTCAGTTCATTTCAGTCAGTGTCAGAAGAGGATACCCTTCATGACTCTTAATAAAAATTTATTTTTGAATAAACATCTGATTTAGTAAACAGATATTCTAAGTGGAACACTGTTTTTATTCAGATAGGAAACAAGACAAAGTATAAACAGGTGATTAGTGGCCAGGTATTGTAATGTGATCATAAAAATGATGAATAACGAGAATTCGTGGTATCAAAGAAATATCTAAACGTGAAATAGATATGAGTGAAGGTAAGGAGCAGCCAGAGCAAGATAGCAACCGCAAAGACGAGAAGATACATGTTTGTAGTTTAATGTCAGAATATGCACAAAAAGGATAAAGTTCGGTGTGTATGACAAAATTACGAATGAATGAAAATGAGGATTAATTGTCTAGTGAAATACTTTTATGAAGAGAACGTGACTAATGTAATTGAAACATTTATTGGTGTAACCGATCATACCAGTTACCGCTTAACTTTACTTCTGTTTTATTGTACCAAAAACACTCAGCTGCCTCTTTTTGTGACCTCGGGCTTGCTCACCTTCTCTCGATAGTCTCGTCTGTAAAGTTTGGCCAGATCTTGGTATTATTTAGATACCACGAGATTGCCAAAGAATATTACTTAACTTCAATCACAACTGACCTTCTGATTTCTGCCTGTTGATGGATTTAACTTAGCTATTGGCGTTATGCCTTCTCGATTCGCTATAACTTCAATGATACTATTAATTGTAATGATGAATGTTGCTATTTGACCAATTGCGTTCTTCGCCGTAAAAGTGAACTCACTAAAACATCTTGCTACTTTCCTTTTCTCACATTAGCCCCACCATGGTGACTGATCATCTGTTCATACTTTTACTGTATACCATCTGACCAACTATGATGCTTTACTTCGATTATTAATTAACTGAAATCAGGTACGTATTCTGAGGGAATAAAGATATATTGCATATATGAACTAAGAATATCTAAAAACATTAGTAGAGTTGAACTGAATATATCCGTATACGCTATCTGTTTGATTGGATTCTTTGGTTTTATTTTTATTGATATATACATGTTATTAAATAAAGAAAGCGAATTGAAGTGAACTGTAGACTTTACCATTAAAATTTCACATGATTAGGATTCTCCGTTCATCAACTTTTGGCAGCTTATCTTAGCAAAATGATCTAAATATGTGATAAGAGCATGACTTCAGTGCATGCCAGTCCGAAAAACAGAAATTGTGAAATAAAGGCGAACTTCGACAAGAATCTTTCGGTAACTTCTGAGTGCAGGTGACAACGCATCGAATCGTCAAATTTCTCTAAAGCAGGTTTAAATTGTGTGACATTTTCCCACAATTCCTCATTTAGGTTAAACTTCTGAAATCAACACATCTTTCTTACAAATAAATGTCTTCTGTCCCCCATAATCAGCACACACATTAGTATTATATACTTGGGAAGTTCGCTTGTATCTCCCTATGTCAAACAATTTGTTTACACAATCGATATGAATTAAAAGGCATTATAACTGAAAGAAAATTATTGACAGTTTTTGCGAAAACATTTACATTTATTTAAAAAGATTAAAGTTGAATGTCTAATTGGTACAATGTTTCATTCTTTATCAACATAAACTGTTCTTATCGCTGAAACTCTTAAAATGAATGTACTACGGAAGTTAGGTATGTTGTTATCAAACATTGATTACGAAATTGTTGTAAACTTCGGTCAAACTCACGGTTATGTCGTCGAGATTACGGGACCGCACCTAAAATTGTAATGAAAATGTTTATCACTTGCATTATCTTTTTTTTTAATATCGTTAATTTATTTTTATCTCATATCTTTAAGGAACCCTCATTTAATGTCATTGAAATCCTTTGCAAGATTTTTGATGTTTAAGCATATCCTGAATAACCGAAAGTAAAACGTAGACCTACTGTAATGGTGTAAAATAGAAACTTCAGAAAAACTTCGTTTTGTGCAAGTGCCAATTGGTGTGAAACCAGTCGCCATTTCCGATTATATCATGTATGATAGTATAGTTC